GGCCCGGTTTCTTGTCTTTTTCTTCCGGGCCTCTCTCGAGGTTAGCATCCTCAGCCAATCTGCTTGAGATGTTCTAGTTAAAAGAATGTTTTAGTTATATTCTAAAGATGCAGGAGCTTATAGCCTAAAAAGTCATATTGAAAAAGCGGAGAATATATCTCTGAAACATGTAATTTAAAATTTAAAATTCCTGTGTGTACGTTTCTTATCTCCCAAACAGTTGTAAATGTTCACCCAGCCAAACCATTTGAATCTATGGTGGGAAATCCATGATAATTGCTGTTGGTATCCACTGTGTGTGACGTAGCATGTTGATGAGTTGAATTCCTGTGTGTACGTTTCTTATCTCCCAATATTTATAGTTCTTTCAGTTGTTTACCTTTCCCTTCAAACTGTAAATCATCTCTTTCCCAGTGGTTTGGAAAGCCAGGGGCCTGGAGTACCAAGAACAAAATTTTAAATACAAATCACTCTTCTTGTTGCCCTTTCTGTAACTCCAAGGGCCTGTAACTCAGAATCTGGCAAGCTGCCACAATTATGATAACATTGTGGTTTTGACCAAAATTTTGCAAAGCCTGGAGGAATGAAGGCTTGTAACATAAAGCATCTCCTACAATGACGTCTTGGAAGACCAGAGTCCTGGAAAACGAGAATGTATTGTAATTACAGAGAGTGTAAGCTCTTGGACCTGCCATCGGTCTTGGAAGACCAGAGTCCTGGAAAACCAGAATATTGTAATTTCAGAGAGTGTAAGCTCTTGGACCTGCCATCACCACTTCCATATTTACACATTGCAACATTAAAAAGTTCAGCTGTCAAGAATGTTATGGAGCAGTGGCCTTGCTTCACTGAGGAGCTGGCTGTTTGTTTTGCAATAACTTGAGTGAACTGTTGTTCAAGTTTCAATTTTGAAAGCACTTTCATTTTGAGGGGTATATTTTTCCTCCACCACCCCTTAATTATTTCAACATTCACACAACATTTCATATCTTGACAGCCGGCTGCTATATTACCTGGTTCATTTGTTACCCGGATTCCGGGTACATTTACTGGATCACTGGAAGTTGAGTCATGGCAACTGGACTTCTTCCTTATTACCGTATTTTTCCGTGTATAAGATACCCCCATGTATAGGACGCCACCCTTTTCTAATCCCAAAGTAAGAAATCTAAGTGGGGTTTAGCAAGTGTAGGGGGAAAGGATCAAAGCGCTGCAGAATTGCTTTGATCCCTGCTTTCCCCTCCACTTGTTTTTGTTCTCTCCTCAGCTTACCTCTGTGTATAAGACGACCCTCAATTTTTAGTCTAAAGGTTTTAGACAAAAGTATAGTCTTATACACGGAAAAATACAGTAAGTTGAAGAAGTCCAGTGGCTATGACTCAGCTTCCAGATAACCTCCCCTGGATGACTGCGAATCTTCGCAGATCTGCTGGATCTGTTGGTTTCAACAGTCAGCTGGCCCAGAAATGGGTCTGTCCCTCCTCTGTGACATCATGAAGGCCCTCCCATCTGAGGTTTGGGCCCTGCAAATGGGCTTCTGCTGACGTGGCCATCCTACTGTGGGACGCGCATGCACAGAACAGTCCAGAAGCTCCTCTCCAGTCTCTCGTTTGTCTCCACCCTCTGATGATCCATAGCAAGGCGGATGATTTTTCCACCCCCGAGTCCCTTTGAGGGTCTCATTGACCCTTAAAAGGAGGAAAAATACAAAAAATTAAAAAGCGAGTGTTGCTGAAAATCCATTTCCCATTTCCTTTCTGTAGTTTTAAATTTTGAGAGCCGGTTCTTCATAGTTTATATATCTAAGGGCCCTCCAAGGACTGCATAAACTGTATGGATGACCACATGCGGTTCCCTGGGTGTATTTTCCCCACCCTGGTCTAGAACGATGCTGGTTCTGGACCTAGAATTTTTGTGCAGCTGTTCTGGCTAGAAAGCTCTTGCTAGAGAAACTTCCATTGGCTTATACCTCCCGCAACTGTAAAAAATGGATATTTGTGAACATTTGTTCATCCGGTCTTTACCGCGCGCCTGCATGAGCGACGGTGTTGGAAGAGAGACTGCTAAGCACAAAGGATTCCAGGATTTGACCACCCACAGAAAATGTGATTTCAAAGGAGCTGCATGGCTGAGCAGAGAGCCATTTCGCATGCAATGATTCCTTTCCATGTTGAACCCCCCCCCCTTAGAAGATTATGCACACCTTCAGGCATGAAAACTTGTGCTGTCTGTACATCGAAAAAGATGTACCTGCTCGTCCCATTTTTGTGCCAGCCGTGTGCATGTGTGTTTCAGCTGCCTATGAGCAGGTACTTGGGGGGGGGGGTCTGAGAGTTTTTGGCTGGGGAACACTGGCCCCAAACCTCTGTTCCTCCATAAAGCTCCCTGGGTGACTGGACCCATGGATTCCTCTCAACCTCATTTATCTTCAAGAAATTCTTTTTTAAAAAAAAAATCAGATTACCTAAGCCAAAAACTAATAATAATAATACTGTACATTATTCTTTGTTTTCTGTTATCAAGAATCATGTAAATGCACCTGCAGGATTTCACATCATAGTTTTCAGTCTTCTGAAAATTGCATACCCATGATAAAGTAGCAGAATGGCGTCCTTGTTATGCATTTTAGTATCTACTGCTTATGAGGACAAGAGGATAACTGCTCTCCTTCCTACCCTCCAGCCTCTCACTCCACGTTTATGAGCTGCATATCTTTAATAACCCAGATTAACAGTGTCTGACTAAGGGAATCAGCTGGTGAAAGAAGGGGTAGCCTCCCTCCACGGATGCAGAGGCTACCAGGGTATGTTTGTGTGAACTCGAAATAAAGTCAAATAAACCCAGATTTTCCCCCTAAGGTAAGAGCATCAAGGTATCACACACTGTCATGGAATCATAATTAGTTTCAGTTGGCAGCTGAATGGAGCGTCTTTCTTTGCAATGTGTGGTTCCACTGAAAGCTCCAGACAACACCATCATCATCCCTGTATTTTTTTTTTAAAAAAACTAAACCCAGTTTTGCTTCCATCACAAAACAAGTTTCAAAATGCTAAACTGTCCTTCTGCCTAAGAGCCATCAGCTGATAAAGGAAGATGGTCCTTTTGCTCTTTCTGGAGAGATGCAGGATCAGGAACCATACAGACGTTTTGATATTCAGAGGTTTGGTGTAAATCCAAGCTCTGCTCCAAAGCCCATCATTTGTTTCTTCCTATCTCTCTCTCTCTCACACACAGGCATGCATGGACTGAATTGTGAAAAGCTTATGGGCTTTTTTTCTGTTTTTTTTTTCCTAATAGGTCAAAGGGCACTTGAGATAGGCAGAGTCTTTCTCTTACCTGTGTTTGCTAAAACATGCAACTTGAGCTAATAGAAAGCAAGCAGACACAGAGGCAATGCAAATCTTGTGAGGATAATAGTCCTGCACACTGGTGTTCTTGCAAGCCACGGGTCCACCAGAAAACTCCCAACAGCTATCCTTTTCCCCCCAAAATAAGACAGGGTCTTATATTAATTTTTGCACCAAAAATGCATTAGGGCTTATTTTCAGGGGATGTTTTATTTTTTTCATGTACAACCATCTACATTTATTAAAATGAAGTCATGTCATCTTCTTCTGGTTGCTGCACAAGAGTGGAGGGCAGGGTTTCACTTAAATGGGGCTTATTTTGGGGGCAGGGCTTATATGAAGAGCATCCTGAAAAATGCTAGGGCTTATTTTCAGGTTAGGTCTTATTTTGGGGAAAACAGAGTATCTTTTTCAACCACCCCTGAAACGTCAGCTTTTCCTTTTTGTGGTCCCATTCAAGACGGCCAAACCGAACTCCCGTCTCAGAGTGGCTGTGGCAGGCGCGTGTGCGAGCCACCTTCCACACTCTCAGTGGGCCCTGATTTCTATTAAATGGTGTGCACATTAAGTTCCCCGTTAAGCTGTACAAAAAACTTGCTTGTTGGTTTGCTTGTTGTTGTTTTTTAATTATTTTAGGCCTTTCTGTCCTGGCCTTCAAAGAAAAAATGTTTGGTGGCTTACCATAAACCATCGCCTCAGAATCAAGACCTATTATAGAACCACCACAGATGTTTAAAAACCCAACTGTGCTTTAAAAGGCCTGGGAAATTAAACTATCTCGTCCTGGCTCCAAAAGCCCATAACCTCTGCTTTAGGAAAGCATTTTATAACCAGTCCCCACCGCCGAGGTTCCTTTCCTCGGTTTGCCCTCCGTGAATCTGTGACGGCCGAATTAGGACTTTCGAGGGAGAGGTGAGGAAGTAGCTGCCCCGCTCGTATGGGCTGGAGTCCTGTTTTGCAAAATTAGAGTAACTAGTCTCTAGCTGCAAATGCGTACAGGGAAGCTGCTATGAAGTCTGGAGTTCAGCTTGCCCGCCTGTGCTCCGCCATGTGCACCTCACAAGGGTAAAGAAGTGTCTTCGTCTTCCATGTCTGTCTTAACTCCCACGCCAGTCACTCCTTGCTCTTCCATTGTGTTCTGCTTTGTTTCTCTGCTACACACCACCCCTGACTTCTTCGCCCCCAGGACAAAAGGAATCGCCGCAGCATCAAATGGATGGAGTGGCTTTTCTGTTCTTGCCAGGTTGCAGAATGGAAACCTAGGGCCCGTTGGCGGAGGGTTTGACCTCAATTACCCCGTGCCGTTGACACAGCAGCATGGGTGCGCATCGCCTTGTTTCCGATGGGAAACAAGCAGGTCCCTGCCCCAAGGAGCTTGCAGTATGATTTTCAGCAGCAGAACGGGAAAGGGCTCAGAGGAGCACGAAACCAACCAGTGAGGAATGTGAATCAATTCCATGTATTTTTAAGTTTCCACAGAGCCCGACGCCAAGCCTGCCCTTTGGGCCGCTGACCTTTCCGGAGCCAGCCTCACTGTTGAGTTCTCCTTGATGGCGCTTGTATCGTGGCTCAGATTTTTACCATCCAGCGGTGTCGGGGTGGGTGAGGAGAGGCTTGGGACTGCCCGGGTTGAGGATTTTGCTCTTCTTCCAGACGCCCGGTCAAGTACCTGCTGTGCAGTGATAACCATGGGATCAAGCCCCCGACTCCCGAGCAATACTTGACTCCTCTTCAGCAGAAAGAGGTTTGCATTCGGCACCTGAGGGCCAGGCTGAAGGACACGCATGAGCGACTGCAGGACAGGTCTGTTTGGGGCTGCCTTATAAAAGGGGGGGGAAGGAGGGCATTGGGGCTGAGTGTCCACTGGACAAAAGGATCCCTTCTGTATCCACAGAAGATGAGTTCCAAGCCTCCCCCAGATTCTGGTTACAGCAAACTCTATTTTAATGGTGAATGCTATGCATACAATGTTTTCTGGCTCCCTCCGGTGGCCAGTTCTGGTCACTTCCTCTTGAGAAATATAGTATTTCTAGGATTTTTCTTTTAATATTTTCAGGCAGTGGACGAGTGAATCATCAGATACAGATCCCACAGATAAGGGGGTCCTCCTGTGTTTCTCTCTCTCCTTTTATTTTTATTTATTTAAAAGTATTTTTATCCTGCCTTTCTCCTTAAAAAGTACCCATGGTGACGTACCTCTGAAAAAGGCAATATTTAAAAGTATAGAAATATTAGAAAGAATCAAACAAAATGAAAACCTACATTCAAAGCAACAGGCACAATAATCCATTTTAAAAAAACCATTGTGTCTGTCAGTCACGAGTGGCTTCAGTTGCGGTTTGTGGAGTATTTCCTAGGTCATCCGATACTCAGAGCTGAGTTACCATTCCCATCTTTTGGAGGTGTTTTCTTTCTGTGCAGCTTTTCCCAAGGCTACACAAGCTGACTTTTCCCCCCAGGAGGCCCCAGTTGGGAATTTGAACTTCTCAAGTGCTCCGAGTCACTGAGCTACCCAGCCAGTCAGTTATCTTCATGTCGATTTCTTTAAAAAGAAGACAAACCAAGAGCCATTGTTTCTTAAAACATCCCCTAAAGAAGCCGTTATTCCAGATATTCTTAATCCAAGAAGCCAGGGGTCTTGCATCAAGCAGGGGGGTTAGAATGGATGGCCTTATAGGCCCTTTCCAACTTCACCATTCTAGGATCCCCTAATACAGACCTGGCCAAAGTGTGGCCCGAGGGCCACATACGGCCCGCGAGCTGCTCCTGTCCGGCCCGCTGGTCGTCACTCCAGTCTGGTCTTCAAGCACTTGTTCAAGCCCAAGACAGACTGGATGTCTCTCACTGAACAAGTTGAACATCAAAACCATTTATAGCTTTTTGTCTAAAGTTGATCTGTTGCTTATCTTTTATTTTTAAGTAAAGTTAGTTCAGCCCCCGAACACAGTTCAGATTTTTCATGTGGCCACCTTATACAGTGGTGCCTCACTTAGCAATGTTAATCCGTGCAGCAAAAATCACTGCTAAGCGATTTCATCACTAAGTGATATTTAAAAGCCCATAGAAACGCATTAAAACACCATTAATGCGTTCCTATGGGCTTAAAAACTAACCTTAAGCGAAAATCCTCCATAGGGGCGGCCATTTTCGGTGCCTCTAAAGTGAGGTAACTCAGCGGGTGGCCATTTTGTTTACCCGGTGGCCATTTTGGAACCGCCGATCAGCTGGCCGAAAATGGGGGCTTTGCGATGATCGCTTCCCTGCGATCATCGCAAAGCGAATTTTCCCCATAGGGAACATTGCAAAGAGATCGCTTTTGTGATCGGAAAAACATCGTCGCAAAGCAATTTCTTTGTTAACCGGAGCGATCTGATCGGAAAAACATCGTCGCCAAGCAATTTCTTTGTTAACCGGAGCGATCGCTATGCGAGGCACCACTGTATAAATTAATTGCCCACCCCTGCCTTAATAGAACATCAGGTTTCCAGGAAGGATATGGGAATCCGCTCCACTCTGGAGAATAGGGTGGCCCTCCTCGGAAAGAGGGGTTTTGTGCATTTTTCAATGCTGTTTTTGTACCAGTGCACTTCTGGGCGGGAGGGAAGGGAAGTTACAACTAAGATGATAAAACCAAGCAATACCAAAGAGGGAAGAATGGCCTGCCAGCATAACGAGATGCATTGGAAAAGGATGTGCCATCCGACTCATCTAGTTCCGAAGTCCTGGTGAAATAAAAATGTTTTCCAAAAGCGTGGTGGACAAATGTGAAAGGAATCTTGGTCCTCCCAAAGAAAGGGAACAAGCCTGTAGCCTGAACTCGAAAAGCATTTCTGATACATGAACCTTTCTATGCACACAGGGCTGTTGTTCACGCCGAACACTGTTCGTTTTAGTTCTTCCACAAAACATGCTAGAGCTTTTGTGATGCTTCATCACAAAAACTAGAGCCACAGAGGTACTGAACCTTCATCCTTTGGCCACAGAAGCTTTAATCATTCTCTGTAGGCCTTGCTTATAGGATTACAGCCTAGAAGCCAAATTTAAGTTTTGCTTAAATTTGCAATAGGTTGTTGGCACAACCTAGTTTCCTTTCATTCAGTGAAGGACATAAGCACAAAGGAGGGTGAAACAATTATAAATGCACCATATTAACATAGTTTGGGAAAGAAAGAAAGAAACAGCTAGGTACCGCTGAGAGCCACCTCATAAAATTTAACCAGGTGGCGCCAAAGGTTGGGGACGGAAGCAGTTCTAGAATAGGTACAGCCTCGCTTCTGTTGGTTCTAGAGCGACCCGGAGCCATGACCAAGGTTTTGCTTATCTGTATGTCTGATGCAGAGATGCGGAGATTGAAGACCTGAAAGCCCAGCTCTCCAGAATGCAGGAAGATTGGATCGAAGAAGAGTGCCACCGCGTGGAGGCCCAGCTGGCCCTCAAGGAAGCCCGGAAGGAGATCAAGCAGCTGAAGCAGGTCATCGATACCGTCAAGAACAACCTGATAGAGAAAGACAAAGGGCTCCAGAAGTATTTTGTGGACATCAACATCCAGAACAAGAAGCTGGAGACCTTGCTCCACAGCATGGAGGTGGCCCAGAACGGGACGGTTAAAGAGGAGGGGGCCACCGAATCGGCAGGAGGCTCCCCGGCTCGTTCGCTCACCCGCAGCTCCACCTACACCAAGCTGAGTGACCAAGGGGCCAACGAGAAGAACATGGGGGGCTCCCAGACCATCTCAGTGGACGAGGGGGCAGACAGCGGCTTCGCGGCGGCAGAGGACTCCTTGAGCCGGACAGACCTGTTGGATCAGAGTAGCCTCCTCTCCTCGGGAGTAGAGTGCGGCACTGACGAAGTCTCCCTGCAGACCAACTTCACCCTGGGCTCCCGGGTCCCGACCAGCTCCACGTACGAGAAACTGATGGGGTCTCAGCAGAGCGTGGAAGCCGCGGTGCAAGCCAGCTGCATGCAGGAACAAGCCATACAGACAGACTTTGTGCAGTACCAGCCGGATCTTGACACCATCTTGGAGAAGGTGATGAAGTCCCAAGCCTGCAGTCTGGCCAGCCCCACATCGGTGTGGGTCTCTGAAATGGAGGACGGGGTTGAGACCAATAGCTCAGAGACTCGCGCCCTAGATGTAACCGGGCCAATGGACTTGGTGGCTGCTAACCCCAACTCCGCAGTGGCGATCCTGGCCGGAGGGGTCGTTGAGGATCCTGATGGGCCGCCAGCGTCCCCGACGGAGCCCAGAGCCGCCCCGACTCCAACCGTGCATCAGCCTTCTAGCGCAAGCGAATCAGTGAGCATCGTCTGCGCCCCCGAGGAAGACGTTGCCGAGTCCAGCCAAGACCTGGTGGCAGCCACGGCCTCGGCAGGAGCAGCGTTGGAGCCCAAAACGTACTGGAGCCGCCACTTCATTGTGGATCTTTTGGCCGTCGTGGTTCCCGCAGTGCCTACCGTCGCCTGGCTGTGCCGCTCGCAGAGAAGGCAGGACCAGCCCATCTACAACATCAGCTCCCTCCTGCGGGGCTGCTGCACGGTGGCTTTGCACTCCATCCGCCGGATCAGCTGTCGCTCGGTGGCCAGCCCCGGCGGCGCCGGTGCCTGCCCCCAGCCGTAACCGCCTCGCTTGCCCCCGCCTGCGGCACCATCACGCACACATGCTTTGCCGAGAGAACGAGCCGGTGGAAACGACCCAGATTGAGCTGACCACTGATTGTAAATGCCATCCACGCATTTGAAACTTTGGCTTTTATTTTTATTTATTTATTTATTTATTTGGGGGGGTATCATTTCTTTTTTGGAATGTGTGGACCCTTGAGAAGGGTTCTTACCTGCTGCTCATTTTGATTTATGCAAATGACTTGGGAGGCGACGTTTGCTGCCTTTTCTAATGCCCTGGAAGCATTGAAAACAGAAAAACACCTTCCCTCTTAGCGGAGTCCAATTTCCCTCTGTGCTGAAAGGCTTGTCGTCCACCAGCTGATGCAACGTCTGACTGCTGTTGTGCCCCTTTGATTTTACAAAAGTTACAGGAATTTTTCTTTTCTCTGAATTGCTGGTTGAGCCAATCCTTCTCCCCTTTTCCTCACAGGGGCATTCTGGACATGTTGAAGTTACACTGGAGAGGTCTCCTCCACTATCTTAGCTCATGCCTATTTCTTCAGCCTCCTTCTCATAGCTAGTCCCCAACACTACCTCATTCTCACTAAAACACTGCCCCCATCCACTTTTCCACCCATTATCTGGATGCCCAGAGTTGAAATCCTGTAATTCCACTCCCTGGAAAAGACCCTGATGTTGGGAAAGGGTGAAGGCAAGAGGAGAAGGGGACGACAGAGGACGAGATGGATGGACAGTGTCATCGAAGCGACCAACATGAATTTGACCCAACTCCAGGAGGCAGTGGAAGACAGGAGGGCCCGGCATGCTCTGGTCCATGGGGTCACGAAGAGTCGGACACCACTAAACGACTAAACAACCACAACAGTACCCAGAGAGCCACCTGGGGTCCCTCCTCCTTGGCCTGCCGAGGTTAATCCAGTTGAGTAGCTTCAGCGCTCAGCTACCCAGTTTGCTGATCCTGGAGGGGAGAAACATCTCATTTGGGCTGCCTAGAAATGGCAGAATCTATTCTCAGTCACTGTCCAGTTTATGATCTATCTATTATGATCTCTCTATTGGGAAAGGAACTCTTAAAACCAATTAGTTGTAGTTTCTAAACCCCAAAAGTAGAGTTAGGTTCTAGCACCATAACTCTTTTTTATAAACTGGAACTTTTCACTTTCGCATAGGTCATAAGTAACTGGGGGGAAAAAGAGAATACTGCAAGAGTCTGCCTGGGGTGCAAAACACAGACTCCTTCCGTCCCCCTCAACATCCAGAACAAAGCACGAGGCATGGCACCAACCGGCCCTTGAGCTGTGCAATGTTCCTCTGCCATTTAGCAATTCCACACCCCTCTAACTAGAAAACTCACTAAAAGGTCAAGTCATACAGCAAAAAGGAGTGATATCACACACACCCCATTAAATGGCCATCGTAGTGTAAGGTAGTTATGCCATGACAAGTAACTAGTGAACCAAATCCTGCTTTCTAAGTCGGAGACTCTGGGAACAGTCGTTGGTCCGTTTCAAGAATGCCAAAGTAGCGGTCTCTGTGATTTGGAGATTTCGAAGATTTCTCCCTGAATCCAACTGGCAGTTTTGAAACGGCATAGAGGGCAGGTAGCCGCCTCGAGCTTCTTAGCCCACGTGAGCTGCCGTCCCTCTTGCGCCTACCTTCATTCCCAGGAGTCTCTTATGCCAGGATCACACTCGGCATATTATTTTTCCTCGCTCATTTTCTCCCTATACTTTTGCTTTCTCTGGGATTTGTGCCTAAGAGCTGCCCTAAAACAAGAGGAAGACGCTCTGGATGCCTCTTATCCGTTACAAAGCTGTCCCTGGCACCCTCGTTCTCGCAAGTGGGCAACGGGCTTAGTGCATGCAGCCTCTTGTCAGCAGGGCAAGTTGCCCTCTTTTTTTAACCACCATAAAGGAGCAATTCCTAACATGTACGCGTGCACACGCATGCATATGCCCCATTTGATGCTCTTTTGCCCAACTTAATACCCCTGTGCATCTCCTCATTGGTGCGCAGCAGCTACCAAAAGGAAGGGAGCTAGTATGGGAAAACACGAGGACCAGATAAACCCAAAATTAATCCTAAGTAAAGCAAACCATCGGAATCGATGGAAGGAACACTACCTATGACCAAGTCCTATTCATTTCAGTGCCCCTCCTCTAGCTGGGACTTCTGTTGGGTTCAGTCGATTTTAATGGACATTTCATTTCAATTTCCATTCGCCCCCCCCATCCTAAAGTCATGGTCTCTGTTGCAGAGGTCATGTATCCCAACCAGCTTGGGGCACTCTGCACTGGGTCAGAAACCCTTGCTCCTTTATTTTAACCCTCCCAGAGCTCAATTTTGGGCAGCCTTGCTTCAGATTACACTGACTTTTCATCTCCTACAGCCCCAAGGGGTAATGTACCATTTTCAAAATGCGGATCTTGATTGCAGAAGGGGAAACTGAGGCAGGGCAGGGACCTATGTGTCCTCTTCCAGATAGGGTTGTGTTTTTTTAAGCAGGGAGGACACTTCTGCTTAATCCCTCACCACACACACACACACACACAAAAGAAACACCCACAGTTTACCCCAAAACCAAGATGCAGAAATCAGAGACCCTTCATCAGCTTGGCCTGCCTCCCCGCCGAAGAATGTTGTGGAATGTAGTAGATTGTGAATGTTGTGTGCAAACAAAAAAAAAACCCTACACTTTTGATGACCATGGAAATGTCACCCTCACCACCGTCACCCCCTCACACTTATGAGACTTTACGAACTCGCAGCTCTGGCTTTGGAAGAGCTACTTTCCTCTTTTCCACAACTCAAAGGAAGCCTGGCCGAAACGGAGCGCAGCCGGATGTTATATAGATATACCTCGTTGTTGAGCGACCTGCCGCCCTCTCTCCTCGGGGCAGCAGCGAAGAAGTCCTTGGGCTTGTTTTTGTCTTGCACTATTGTTCACTTTGGGCAGACTTGAACCCTGCAGGGGAGAAAGGGGGTTGGCTGGAGACCCCCGGGCAGTTGCCTGGCCCAGCGACCGGCGCCTTTCAGGGCTTGGCCGACGATTCCCTTTTTGGAACTGAAGAGGCAAAATAACAAGGGAAACCTGGGGGCCGCCCCCTTCTTTTCCCCTTCGGGTGGCTTCGTCCATCCACTCATCTATCTTCTATGCTTTGGAGAAAGAATACGAAGCGAGAGAGACACTGCCTACCGTTCTCCCACACAAAGGATGCTTCCCTTTGTATCCCTGAAAATGCCGGCTTGCTACACTCTGGAAGGCTTTCAGCTCTCACTGAATCTGGCCCAGCCAAGACCCCTTTCACCGTAATAAACTGTGGGGGTGAGGCTTATAGATTGTAAACGGTGCCGGGCAATGGAAATGGGTGCAGGACTCGTCTGTGGAGGGCCGGGTCGCTTGCAGTCAAGGAGAAGCAAGCAGGTGGCCTTTTGCTGTCTTGCAAAATGGTTTTCTCCCGTGGCAGCGCATGGAGGTGGTTTGTTGAGACGGGAAGTTGTGAGCGACAGGTGGACGCCTTCGGGATAAGGGCTGCGCCTACGCCTGGAGGCACTCGGGGGAGGCTGCTCAGAGGTGCCTGGAGCACGTGTCGGATTCTGGTTTGGGGTTTTGTGTCTCGAGAGCTGCTTTGTCTCTCGCACACCCTGTATAGGTGTGGGCAACCTCAGCAGGTCTGAGACTGTATTTTTTTTTAAAGCAAAGCAAAACTCCCTGGGAACTTTGTGGGAAAAGCCTATGAACTGCCAGAAAAGAAAAAGAGTGGACTGTTTGGAATAATGGATCTATGGCACATTAGATGCTTCAGGGAGGCTCTGTGGTCTATTTCACGAATGAATCGTTGTTGCTGGTGGGGGGGAGGCCTAACAGGAGCTGAAAACCACCTTCCGGGGCTGCGCTTTGTCCACACCTGCATGAAGGAAAAGTTAACACCTGGCAACATTTTCTCCAAATATTCCTCCTCTACTTCGTTGGAGGTAACTGCTGTTTCCACCCTTGGGTACAGCCAGGCTGGCAGGTAGGGAATGCTGTGGAGCACGACCAGGCTGTGGCCTGGCCACCACCCCCCAGAAGCGCTTGCCCTCTCGAATCGCTGCAGGAGCACCCATCCGAAACCAGAATCCGAAACGCCGATTCTCACGGCCACCTGTTGGGAAATCTGTGTTTCTTGCAGGGGAAATTTTGTGAAATGTTTTCCCCCCCTTCCTCCACTTCTCTGCCCAAAAGTAGGCAAGAGGCAGATTGCCCTTTGTCCTGGTAGTGACAGCGTTTTGGGAATTTGCTTGGGGAAGAGAGAGTCTGTAAGATTCGACACTATTTCTTAGAGGCTTAGCTGGCCTTGGAACTGACCCCACAGAGCCCACCAGACGGAGTCTACGAAGTAGTGAAGTATATGTTGTAGTTCTACGAAGTAGGGAGAGGAGAGGCCATCGCCCAAGGAAGAAAAAGTCGCAGTGATTTTATCGTCCTGCTTGCCTTTCATCTGCCTTGCAGTTCCTTTCAGGGGCGCGAGGCATTTAGAAGTTGTCACAACGCTCCCTGCACCTCCCAGGAGCGCTAGACTTTCCGTGGCCACACTATGTTCGTAGTTCAGTAAGCGGCTGGACCTTTGGGGCAATTTCTCTCACCATTGCCTCTGGTGGCGCAGCAGTAAATTTAGACGGTCCGGCATTCCTGGCAACAGCCACCACTCTGGAAGGCTGAAACAAGTGGTCAATAGCAACAAAAGAGGAGCCATTTTTAATTGTAAAATTCCTGGCTTTGATTCACCCATCCAGCAGAAACTGAATGCTTTGCATTACAAAGGGAGTATACAGTTCCTACAGCTAAGCTTAGAGGGGAAAATGGGAGCTGGGTGGGGGTGGAGGATAGCATCCTCCCTGCTGTTTCAAAACTCACTGGGCTTTGACCCTGGAAGCCCCAGTTCCACTACACCACGGCTTGCGACCAAACCACACACCTTCACCTTCCAACTTAGATTGTTTGCTGAAATCACCCACAGTGGCTGTTTGATTGTTGTATTCCAGAGACAGGTATGGGGTGGGTGGGGGTTTGGGATCTGTGCCTGCCTTTCCCAGCAGAGCCTCCACTTCCCTGTCTTTGGTCTTCTGGGAGTCAGAGCTGTGTCAGTGCCCTGTCCACTTGGCCTCAAGCCAGCCGTTGGGTCATCCGTCTGCCCAATCCCAACGATTCATCTCCCAGATGCCTCCAGGGTGCCGTTGGGTGCTAAACATGACCTTAGCAACATGTCTTGTTTCTGGAGGCCTTTCATCATCTGTACTCAATCATCCCTGAGTGCAGGACATGTAATAATGGGCTCAAGTGACAGGAAGCCAGATTTTGGTTGAGAATCAAGAAAAACTTCCTGTTAGAGCGGTCCTACAACAGAACCCATGACTTCGGGAGGTGGCGAGTGCTCCAACGCTGAAGAGATTTTCAAGAGAAAGCTAGACGACCCTCTGTCAGATCTACTTTGACTTGGATTCCTGCCTTGAGTTGGACTTGATGGCCTTCTACGGTTCTCTTCCAACTCCATGATTCATTTATAGAGAGTGTGTGTGTAAAACATCACTTTTTCAACGCCCATCCGTTTTTTTAAAAAAAGTTCTTTTTTCTCTGATGTGCCTGTATCCTGCCCTTCCTGCAGTGAGCTAATGGTACATGACTCTCCTCCTCCAATTTATCTCGCAACCGTGTTGTGAGGTAGGTCAGGTCTTTCACTGCTCTGAAAGGATTTAAACCCCCAATGAAACACCAAGCCCAGCCCTTCAACAGCTCTGCCCCACTGGCTTAACGATTATTAGCGGAATCACATTTAGCTGGGAAGGAGACGTGTTAATGGGAACCTTTTTTCCCCCGGGATAATAGTGGTGATGGTGGAACGGTTCAGTTGGAATCACAAAGGTCTCCCCCTGCGTTGCTGACAGAAATCCAACACCCCTCCATCTGAGCTAAAATGGAGGAAGAAAGGAACGACCAAACATGGATGTTAATGATGTGTTTGGCTTCGCTTCTGGTTTGTGTCTGAAGGAGTTTCCAGACGGTTGCAGGAAACACTGCAGTTCCTCCGTGAGAAACCAAATCTTGTCTGGCAGAGTTTCGCCCTTCGAGGCAGCTTGCTCTCCATTGTCCACCCTGGAGTGAGAGGAAAAGTGGAGTGTGATCCCAACCACAGACTCCCTTCCCTGGGCCTAGACTGGAGGCAGAGCAGGGGGGTGGTTTTATTTTTCCTCGTGGCCTCCATCAGCTGTCTGCATCCTGATTTTCTCTGGCTGCATCCGACTACAACTCCCATCATCTCCAGCCAACACTGTCATTAAGAGCGGTGAGAGTTGTAGTCAAAACACAGCTGAGACGTGCTAGCTAGGGGAAGGTGGGCTCAAAGACATCCTCAGAAAAGAGGTCAGGACTCCTTGCCCTATCATGAAAAAAAGAAAACCACCACTGAAGTGATGACATTCTAGAAACTTCAAGGAAGGAATAGGGGGAGAAGAAAAATCAATTTGTTGTCAGGAGGTCAGTACAAGCTACGTTCAGGGCTTATAAGGCGGTCGATGGATAAGAGTGCAGGACATGCAACCATGGGCTCAAGAGACACGAAGCCAAGTTTCAGCTGAATATCAGGGAAAACTTCCTGTTAGAGCAGTACAACGATAGAATCCATGACCTCAGGAGGTAACGAGTGCTCCAACACTGACGGCATTCAAGAGGGAATTGAACAGCCCTCTGTCCGATCTGCTTGGGTTTGGATTTGACGTCCTGATCGGCGCCTTCCAACGTCATTCCATGATTCTATGAAATGCCATGTCTCTTCCAGACCTGAAAGAGATGTCCTCCTCAGTAGGACTCATGGCAGCTCATGCAAGGGCTCCCTGGGCCCAATCCACTCCACCGGCCACCTTGAGAATTTAAGATAAAACAGGCAGCTGCTTTAACCCTCGTCTCCCTATGTGAGACGCCAGGCGAGCAGCTCCGAAGAGCCTGAAGGAGGCTTCCAGAGCCAGGCTTGAGAAGCATCTCGGGGAGATGGCCGTTCTGCGAGCATCGTTGCCTTAACTGAGAGGCTGCTGCATGCGGGGTGGGCACCCCCGGCCTTTCACGGGGTTTTGTGCTGGTTTCACAAGGCGTCCACTCCTGTTCTTAGGACGGTACGGCTGCTTGTGTGCTCGAGGTAAGTTTTGCCCACACCCTAGTGGCAGATGACACAGCTGTCACAAACAGACAGGTGTTCTCAGCGGTCGCCGACCCTCGTGGAGTGAGGCAGCCCGTGATGCCAAAACCTGTGTATGCTATTGAGGCAAAGAGTGCACCTGACTGGGTCACCTGGAGATGACATGGCCAATTGCGCCCTATAGACTCCAAAACCCACTTAGGTGACCAAGCTTGCGAGGGTCTTATTTGGTGTGGGACAGGGGGGGAAGGAAGGATGGCCGCTTTCAGAGATGAGGGAACCGGCCGAGGGAGGAGGGTGACGGTGCCTCTGTCTTACCTGTAAAGTATTTGGGTCGTGAGAGAAAGAGTGGGGACTCCATTTCAGTGGGGAGAATAAGGAAACGAGGTGGGTACTCTTAAGAAACAAGCCTCGCGTGCAACGTATTTGTGGGTATGTGTACACGTCTGTTGAACTATCCAAAGCTGCCGAAAAATAAATGTATCACTATATTTGAAAGAGAAAGGTCTATATAATATATATTTTTAAAAAGACAGAACTTAGAAGCCGTATCCTCTCGAGTTTCGATTTCCACTGTCCTGTAACCTTTGTCTGTTCGGCGGCTAGAATAAAACGTTGTTTGGGTCTCTGCCGGTCTCTCTTTCCCCCCTGCCCCTGATGTCTTCGCCGGGTGCCACCGGGTGGGAGCGCCCCTTCCCTTATGCCAGAAGGCGTCTGTCATCCTCCTTCCATCAGGGATGGTGGCAATGCCCGAGGCAGAGCTGCTAGTGCCTCTATGGAAACAGCAGAGGGCTTTGAAAGGGTGGCCAATGTATAATTTTGGGTCATGTTTGATGAGATGTGCTATGCCATCTGCATCCACAGACTGCATAGCTCCCTTCATCAGGCATGACTTGAAATTGCAGGTTTCTAGACATGGGTTGGGTCCGAACGGTAACACAGCAGCCGGAATCCTAATGAAGTTTGCATAAGATTAGCCTAACTCACTGCCGGCCTTTTGTCAAGTACGCAACCAAGCCATGTCCCAGCATCTTGTCCATTAGCCATCATTCACCACAGTAAGTCATGCAAACAGGATGTGAACACCAAGCATCTCAGGGCCCATGAGATGCGAGGGAAATCTAGATGCATGAAATACTGCCAAGGAAGTGAGCCGCCCACCATTCTAAATCACGAACTTTTCCTGTCCTTTATTGTCGCTTCCACTCCCCCCAGTGAGTTTTCATGGCTGAGCAGGGATTCGAACCCTGTTCTCCAGAATCCTAGTCTGTTGCTCTATCCACTACACCACACAGGGAATCCCACAGGTTGACTTATCTCCAATTAATTCGGGAGAATATTATTTCTTAGATTTACAAAGCTTCTGTCCTCCAGGGACCCCAAGGCTCTCCCCGACCCCCTGTACTTTATCCTGACAACAACCCTGTGAGGTCAGCCAGGCTGAGAGAGAGTGACCAAACCACAGTCACCCAGAGTGTTTCATGGGGCTCTGGAGAGAGGAGAGCTTAACATTTTACCCACAACACATCACATTCTACAGACTAGAAAATGGCCTGTCTCCAGCTTCCTCCTGCAGGAGATGTTAGCACACCGGTAAAATTAATTTACCTCCCGTCCCCCAAAGCTGAAATATATGTAGCAGCTGCACAAATGTCCGCCTTGTCCGCCTCACCAAGTCTCTGGAAACCCCACAGTCCGAAAGAAATTTAGAAAAGCTGCACCGAATGGATTCCCCTTGCTTTTGTTTGGCAGTAGTCCTGGGGGGGGGGGCGAGGTGCAGGAAAGCAAAGTGGCCCCCCCACGTCCTTCTGGTGGAGCCCAGGGTGGATTTCGTTCCAGAAGAGAGAGGACATGGAAGGAGGCAAAGTCTTCGAGCAAGTTTACACATCAGGGACGGAATGATCCATGGATGATTTCACGAGCCCACTTGATAGCCTTAGGAGACGAGAGAAAGAGAGACTGGAGTCAGCCTTAATCCAAGGAAACGGGTCAAAATAGTCCTCCAGAATCAGCTTTGCAACAAAGACCCACCCACCCCAGGCAGGGGTCTTCTTCCCCTCCAGCAGTGGCCCTGGAAACCAACGTTCGAGACCCCCGGCTGCAGAGCTGTGAAAGGAGCCTCTGAGAGCCTCCTGATTTCCACGCCTGGCCTAAAGGGGAGCCTCGCGGTGCAGTGGTTAAACTGCAGTCCTGCAGTCCAAGACTCCATTCACAAGACCCGGGTTTGATCGCGATGGGTGCTTTCAGTGCTATAGGGTGGTATATAAGCAGCACACTTTTTATGTAACAAACCACAGCAGGATGATCATGCAAACATCACTTCACAGATGAGCTGATCAACCAGGACACCGAGATAAAAACTGGTGGTTCCTATTCAAGCCACAGGGGGACAAAACTGAACCCTTTGAGAAAATCTGGACTCTCTTGGCACAGCAGCTAAAGGCTTGTCATAGGCAAGTACCCTCTCTTCTAATCCAGTGGGCCTTCCGCGTTCAGCAACAGGGTGCCACTAAAAACATGATCCTAAAGCAAATAAAAAAACTAAAAAAGCAAGGTCTGCTGTTTATATACCTCCTCATGGCACTTCAAGCACTTTCTGGGTGGTTTACAAGTTAATTATGCAGGCTATTCATTTCCCTCGACCAGCAAGCTGGGTCCTCATTTTACCGACCTCAGAAGGATGGAAGGCTGAGTGAACCTTGAGCCGGCTACCTGGGATTTGAACCCCGGGTCATGGGCACAGTTTTGGCTGCAGGACAGCAGCTTTAACCACTGCGCCACGAGGCTCAGTAAAGCAGCAGGCAACCAGATTGTCTACCCTAACTCTTTCCTTATGGGCTCTGCAGAACACTGGCTTCTGTTAGAAAACAGAAGCCACTTGGTGTAACCAAGAGGGGGCCCTTCCTGTGTGGTCATCATGATCTTTCTCCTGAGAGCCAGTGGTTTTCCTAGCAGACAATAAGACATAAACGGGGGACTTCCTCCATTTACTCACACTTACTTTTTGATCATGTGCTCGTAGATCACCGTGGGGATGATTGTGAGAGTGATGACGTTGCCTGCATTCACCAGGATTTCTGTGATCTCCTTATCCTTGGGAAGAGAGAGATTCATGCATAGGTCACCCATGGCACTGTGAGAGGAGATTGCCCTGCTGAGATGTATTAAATTGCACGAGGGAAATTTCCACCCGCCCCCCAAAAGCCGTTTTCTTGGGAGTTTAGCCCTGGGGCATTACATGGCCTTTACTCCTGACTCCACTGCTTAGAGCAAGGAAAGATGAGGGGCGTCAAAAATTCTTTCAAAGTGGATGTTCCAAAAGGCAGATGTGACTCTGCAGCACAGCAGGGACTTCTGGAAGTTACAGGGATCAATGCATGTAAAAAAGGAATCTGGACCAGTGTGGGAAAGGAGAGCCGATGACAGATAGATAAGCAGATGGGCTTGGGCACTGAGTCTCCTCTTTTCTCTCCTGAGGGATGCATATGCCTTGCTTAAGGTTCCTCTTCCTCCCTGGAAGCCAGTTTAGTCATTGTTTCCTTTTCTCAGAGGGGCTGGCTATGCACAGGAGTTCCTCCAGGATGTCTACTAGCAATTAGAGGAGACAGGTTTCTGGTGCTGGCCCTGAGATGCAGGTTTTTTTTGGAATGGGCGGGTTATTCTCTAGATCTCAAGCTTCAGCCCTAGAATCTCGGGACCAGAAAGCTGCAGAAGGCAGCCCTAACCAGCCTATTGGTGCACATGAAAGCTGGGTCTAACGGCTTCTGTTCCAAACTCTGAGTTTCCCTCCTGCACTCCTACACTCAAATCCTACTTCTAGCCCCACTCCACCCCCTCAAAATTATCAGTCCCAGTTAAGTGAAGTCCAGGATTTATTTGCTCACACCCACAAGCTGGCTCTCTCTCTCTCTCTCTCCTGCTGCCTGCCTGTCACATCACACCACTTTCCAAATTTGGGTGATTATGGTGATCAGGGTGTTACTGCACACAAAAGACTAGTTAATGACACCCATCAATCACAGTGACAGACGATATCCTCCCCTTATCACAATAATAACAAACAAAACACAGATCACCATAATCACCCAATCTGCTGAAAAGGACAAAAAGCTGATCCCACAGCTACAAATACTAAACTATCTCACACACTACGCCAGAGCACAGACAGAGTTCTAACTCCTGTCCTCTGAAGATGCCGGCCACAGAGACTGGCAAAACATTAGGAAGAATAACCTTCAGAACACGACCAAACAGCCCAGAAAACCCACAACACCATGTAGGATGTTCTTATAGTTCTTCAAAAAATAAAAAAATCAAGTTTGTTCCGTTCCAGCCACCTCTACCTACTGCTTCGCCCACGTAGTCTCCCCAACGGGGCCTTTCCTGCTGTTTGGGACTCCAGCTTCCATCAGCCCCAGGGACGACTGGCAACAGTAAAAAAGGCTGGGAACCATCATCCAAAACTCCTAGTGGGCCTCTGGAGTTTGAAAGGGAGAAAGCCGCTCGTCCCGCGTTGCCCTCCGTCCTGCCCCGGATCCTTACCTTCAGGCCAATGACGTTTTGCCCGTTCACCTCACAGATATAGTGGTTGATGAGCAACCCATTTCGAGCGGCAGAGCTGCCCTTGACGAGCGAGTGGATCTGCCCCTTCTTGATGACAAAACCAACGTGGCCGGTGCTGTCTTTGTGCATGGTCACCGTGCGCTGGAAAGGCCTACCCGGAGAAGGAGGCAGGGACAGAAGAGGGACCGCAGGGAGAAAAAAAAATCTGGCTTAGCCGTGAGCTACAGCACAGACGAGAAGCTGCAGAGACCCGGGGTATCAATGCGCCTCATCCTGACCACTCCTCTCTCCCCTTTCGACCCCTCACCTGTCTCGAATCACCATGATGATCTTTTCCGGGGAGGCCTTTTTCAGCGCGCGCTTGGCTTTGTCCGTGTTCCACCCAGTGCAGTCCTTCCCGTCAATCTGCAAGATCTGGTCCCCAAAACGGAGTCCCACCAGAGAGGCTGGAGAGTTGGCCTTGACCAGCTGAACAAAGAGCCCCTGGAGGAGGAGGAGGAGGAGGAGGAGGAGAAGCCAAAGCCAGACTGTGAAAACCCATATGCTTGATTTCAAGAATTAGGCCAGTTGCAGCAGAGGGAACAGAACCGCTTCTATTATCCTCGTCCCATGGATCGGAAACATGGACAACTTGCAGAGCCCATGGGTAGAGTGCAACTAGGTGGCTACCAGCACCCCCTTGCCAGCACCATGCATAACCAAGGGGGCTGGCTGGTGGCACAGGAGGGCACCCAAGAAGCAGAGGTTGCCTTACTTCAAAAGATGGCCAACTTCAAAAGACTCACCTTATCAATGTTGCGCAACTTCAGACCCGTCTTCCCGCGCTCATCCTTGCACAGATGGACTTCCCGCAGGCCCGGCTTGATCTCCGCCCGACGCATCCCAAGGTTATTTCCTGTGACCGGAGCAACCATCGTGCCTTGCGCAGAAGGAGTTGGGACCACATCCTGCCAAAGAGTCCGGTTGCAACAAGAGAACAAGCCGGTTAATTCCTTCCTCAAGAGCAATCTCTCTCTATCTCTCTCTCACTCACTCCCTCTCCAGCCTTTTTCGTGACCTTATCGGTTAATTCCTTCCTCAAGAGCAATATCTCTCTCTCTCTCTCTCTCCCTCTCCAGCCTTTTTCGTGACCTTATTTACCCCCCAGTGTTGGATGAGAAGGAATTCCGGACCAGCCTGTTTTGCAGGAGGCATCATGGGACATTTATTTTGGCTTTTGTAACAAACCACTTAATTACAAATATGTTGGCTGGCCTACTAGGGAGCAATCCAGCAGTTGAGAAGACCGGTCCCATAATGACTGCCTTGCAACATCCTTGACGTTGCTTTTCCCTGCCAAAAAAATCTATTGAGCAGCCCGTTCCAAAAAGCACAAAACTTGGGTTTCATTTACACCCAAATGTCACACTGGATTTTTTTTTCCTTCCAGATCCCAGCTATTTACAGTAGGAGAGGGACACACGCTCCACAGTAAAAGGCTATCTAATACCATTCATCAGCATCCTACAGTCCAGCACTAGGCTTTACAAAGAGGGGTTACCACCAGCAAGGTGTCTTTCTACAGGAGGAGGAAAGCAAACTTCATGAACAAGGTTTCCATCTACAGGAGGAGGAAAGCAAACTTCATGACACAGCATCGAGTCCCTTAATGGGCTGAGCTAGTTGCGGTTGTCTTCTGCATCAGAAACATGGAAAAGCCTCACTTGAAGGACCAACGGGTTTTACTAGGCATCTGGCTGGGGAAACAGAGGTTGGGAGTTCGTTTCCACCCTGTGCATTCCATAAGAACCAGCCTGTGTGGCCTTCAGCGAGATGTGAAGTCCCAGAGCAGCCCCAGAAGAAATGAAAGTTGATTTCCTGGTGGCACTTCCCTGTAGATTGCGTAACGCTGCAAACATACTCTGTGAATCTACGGAAAGTAGGAGCAAAGGCCACCCTGGGAAACACTTACCTGGCTACCCGCTGGGACAAGTCCCAGATTCTTCTGGACCTCCTCGCTGGAAAGAGAGAGGCCCATGTAATCGTTGAGGTCACTCAGATTTGGGTACAAAACGGGTGGGTCTGAAAAACACACAAGGAAGAGGGAAGAGTTAAACACGGAAAATAGGCTGAAGAATGTTGTCCTGGGACCTCAGATTTGGGAGGAAGGAAAGCTCTAGACCTCCAGTCTTCCTCACAAGGGGTGTGCGCTTTGGTGTTCTGGATGGCAAGTCTCCGAATTCTCCAGCAATTCCTCAGGCAGAAATTTCGGGAGTTCCACCCCACGGACAGACACCGACGTTTCACTCGCCTGGACTGAGACTCATCTCAGGCCTTGCTCTCTGTTCCAAAAAAAAGGAAACACCCCAGTGCTTCCTGGGAAGTCTTGGTCTTTGTGGAAAGTGTAGTCCCACTGCCCCTTAGGTTCTATACACGAGCCTTCCCGAAGAACTACACCTCCCACAAAGACCCAAGCCTCCAATGAGGCAGTTTCTTTTTTGAAGGAGGAAACAAGGTTTGAGCTAGGCCTCAGTCCAGGCGAGTGAAATCCAAATGTTTGTAGGTATCTTTCTGTAGGCTGGAACCCCAGGAATTCTGCTTCAAGAATGGCAAATTCTTGAAGAAGGAAGGAAGGAAGGAAGGAAGGAGGGAAGGAAGGAAGGAAGGAAGGAAGGAAGGAAGGAAGAATATAAGTGCATTTGGCTCACGATTTCTAGGTAGAGGTAGACCCAGATTGCCATAAAAGAAACATAAATAAAATGTTGTAACAGCAAGAGCATAAGACAAGTAATTCAGAATATTTTCCTTTAAGGTCACTACTCAAGATCAAAGTACAAGATCACAGAGCATAGAAAAGTTACTTTGGGACTAACAGTCCAGGAATCCTCTAGGAAATTTTAAGAAATATAGTCCAATAAAATAATTTTTCAAAGTTCTGGGAAGTCTAAGAAGCATCTGCACAGCTATGGGCTGCATCCCGCCTCTGTGATGAATATTGCCAGCTTCATAAATTAAACCTCCCTGAACACAGGGAGGAGGCAGCTGTTAACATTGACTGGACCCTTGGTTTCATGTAAATAATTCAGGCTAGTTTTTCACTGGGACTAGATTGTTAATAAATCTAGAGAAAACAATAATTCATCAGGCAGACAATAAATTACTCTTGAGATGTTTTCTCGTATCAGTGGATTCGTCCATTCTATCATCACAGATCAAAGCACAGTGGGA